ATAAGACACATTAAATTCTCCTACCTACCATGCAATACCATCTCTCACTTTCCCTCTTTCTTTCTCACCACTTTCTTCCATTAGGCGTCACTTTCTCTCTTTTATAATATTTTTAATCTCTTTTTCATTCTTTAAAATCTCTTTCCAAAATTTCATCCATAATTGCAGGTTTTCTTCTTTAATTTTTCTTTTTCTTCAATTTTCATCATTTATCTTTTCAGTCACACAGATCTAGAGGTTGGGGTTTGCACTGTCTGAAATATGTCTCAAACTAGGGTTATAAGGCGACCACTGCAAGCTACGACTGGGAGAGCGATGCGGGCCACGGTTGGGAGACGACAGTCGCATGGTGGTGTCATCCTGAACAATAGAAGCAACTATTGCGTTGATAATTAGTTAGGATTTTGAGATTTGATTAGCTTAATTATTGTAATATCCATTCGGGGGAAAAAAAAAAAAAGAAAAACCCTTTTTGTATGAGATTTGAAATTTACATATGTTGTCTTTTTTGTTTAATTGGTACCTTTGATGCCTTTTTGGGTGAGATATGGTTGCGTTACAAAAAAAATAAAAAATAAAAAATACGGGTCAGGGCGAGTCGGCCCATACCGACGCGGACCAGGTCTCAAGGTCGTCCTGGTGGACCCGTAGCGGGGCACGAGCCAAGTTGGGCCATGCGTGTAGGGTCACGAGCCATATAAAGGCATGACACTACTCGGCCCGACCTGACACATTGTCATCCCTACATACATCTAACACAAATAAATGTACTGTATACCATACTTCATAATCATGGTATACTTCAAATATCTAAGAAATCTATTTAGTCCAATCCAATGTTCATTGTTCGGGAACTCGTAAACCTACTTTGTTCCCGATTCATTTTTTAAAATACATGTTAGAAAATAAATAACACGAGTTTGATGCACTTTTGTCCTTTGACCACCTTACCTCTTCTTAAGTAGCACAAGCACCCATCATCTTGTGCGATTGTTTTCCTTTAGGTTGTTTATTCACTGTCTTTATGAAGAAAGCTATTCTCAAAGAACAATACATTCTTAGATTCTATAATTACTTTCATTATTTATCTCATAAATTTTCAATTAGCACACCAATTATCAATATTCTCCATTATTATTTGCATAACCAAATAAAATAAAACGAATAATGTAAATAATATCTTAACCTATCCCAAGCTAGAATTGAGAACTGGAGGACCAAAATCTTATCTCCATGCCTTGCTTTAGATTACCTGCATCTGTGTGTGCTCAAATCTCCAAACTATGCTCTAAATTCTGGTGGAAAAATGGAGAGGAACATTCTCAGGGTATACACTGGAAATCCTGGGCATCCATGTCTCTGCCTAGGGACAATGGAGGTTTAGGCTTTCTGGATATCAAACTCTTCAACACTGCACTCATTTTTAAGCAACTCTGGAGGATCACAGCTAACCCTGATTTGTTAGTCAACAAGATCCTTAATGACAGATACTTCCCTCATTGTTCTATTTTTGAAGCCACAAAATCTCACAATTGTTCCTGGTTATGGTCAAATTGGCTAGATGTGATCCCTATCTTTGCAAAAGTATTTGCTGTGGAGATTAGAAATGGAGAATCAACTAGGATTGCTGATGTGAACTGGGTGCCTAACTTGCCCAAACCCAAACCAGATATGATCAGCCGTCTCGAAATCACTTGATCTGGGTCAAGGACCTATTTAATGGTACTGGCTCAGAGTGGAATTCATGGTTAGTCAACCAAGTTTTTTTTTTTTATCCAGGAGACAATTCTGCTATTCTTTGTATCTCTTCTCTCAATCCAAATCATCCTGACAGAAAATACTGGAAGTTGGACAAGAAAGGCCTATTCTCTGTTGCAAGTACTTATGCCTTTCTCACAGACCAGAAGCTGTTAGCTTTAGACATACATGTCAGTAGTTCTTCATCAGGCTGCATTTGTGCTAGTCTCTCCAGGTGCTGGAAATTAAAAGTAGCAGGTAAGCACTTCATTTGGAAGTGCTTTAATGGCACTCTTCCTGGGAAAACCAAGTTATGGAGGAAAGGCTTAGACATAGATGTAATCTGCAAATCCTGTGGTGCTGAGGCTTAGACTATTGAACATGTCCTTTTTCATTGCTCTAAAGCTAGCAGAGTTTGGGACTTAGCTCCAGTGTCTTGGAGTGACTTGTTGCATCCCTCTTCTTCTTTTAGATGCTGGTGGTTTGATGTTTGTGCTATCAACAAATCAGAAACCTCTAAAGCTCGGATTCAACTAACAACCTACATGCTTTGGTGGCTCTGAAAATCTCGAAACATGTGGCTCTTCCCAAATATCCAAATTCCACCTCTCCAACTTGTCAACATTGCTCATAAAGAATGGTTGGAGTTTTCTGAAACTACCTGCTCTTAATGTTCTGTTTTGGTTTTATTGTAGTATGAGATTTAGTTCTTTAGCTTTGTTGTTTTTCGTTTAGCTAGTTTGTTTTTCTTGTTTTGGTTTGCTTTGATGATTTTTAGTCTCCCTAGGCTTGATTGCAGTGGGGAGGCTTCCTTAGTTTCTTTTCATTGCTTTTAGTTTGATGAGGATCTAGGCCGCTTGCATACGAGTCCTCTCAGTCTTTGATTTGCGATAGTCTTGATTTGTACTCGAACTATGTCGGTATTTCTTTGAGTTAATAGTTACCTCTATCGTTCCAAAAAAAAAAAATAATAATTAGTATTTCAATATTAGTCAAATACAATCACACTTTATTATATTATTATATAGGACCAGCACCACCTTAGCGTCAGATTCACACAGAAATGCAGAATCTTCCTAGAATATGCCTATAAATGATCAACAAGTTGATGTTCTTTTATTGTGTCTTCGCGATAAATTATAAATTAGTATTTCACGTAGAGTTTTAATTTTAATTTTAAAACGAACAATCTTTTTTTTTTTTTTCGAGCTTTTGCCTTGAACACACGACTTCCTACAATCAAATTCACGAATTTTTTCTACATGTTTCATTGCAAACCCTATCAATATTTCCTCTGTTTAAGCTTGGGGGACATATCCATTTTGCCCAAGAAACTAAAAATAAAAATTAGGAATAAACGCCAAAAAAAGCAACAAAAATCAAGAAAATTGTCTTAAATGTGCAAAAAAAAAAAAAAA